ATCTACCAAGTCCTCTCATGACGACAACGGGCTGGAAAGGGAGGGGGAGCGGTGGTAGGGAAAAGTTTGTGTTCTCTAGGATTAATCATTAGGTAAATCAGACTCAGGCATTGATGAATACACACATACACAAGTGATGTAATACAGCTGTAGACACCAGACATTGTTGCACTCACGGAGACAAAACTTGAAGATGTTATTTTAAATGCGGTCATATTCCCAAGGGGCTACTCAATTTGGAGACGGGACAGAAAAATTAGGAAAGGTGGTGGCGTTGCTGTGCTGGTGAAAGAACACCTAAAGGTGAACGAAATAATGACTGCCAATCCACAAGAAGTTGACATAATAGCACTAGAGATCTGCCAAGAGGATGATAAACTAATGATCATAAATGCATATAGCCCACCGCCAAGCAGCACATGGTCAAAGGAGGAGCTAGATAGTAAACGAGAAGGTCTTATAACAATAATGAGAGAGATCATAGTGAAAGCGGGTAATGATAGATCACGACTGTTGATAGTCGGCAACTTCAACTTGAAATCCATAAACTGGGAAGCATATGAAGCTAAAACAGAAGATTTTTGGACCTGTAAATTTGTAGACCTCAACCTGGAAACATTCTTGTATCAACATGTTAAACAAGCTATGAGGATGAAGGAAGAGGACGTTCCCTCCATGCTAGATTTGATATTTACCAGGAAGGAGGAAGAAATATTTGACATTCAGTACCTTCCTCCCTTGGGTAAAAGTGACCATGTCTTTTTGGGAATAAAGTATGCAATGCGTTATAATCTGGAAGAAAATAGGAAGGTTGATGCAATTAAAAAACCTGACTTTAGGAGAGGACATTATGGCAACCTTAGAAAATTTTTTAGTGAATATAATTGGACAGATTTGTTGCTAGGCAAGAAAGTGAATGAGATGTATGTCAAGTTTTGTGAAATATATGATAAAGGCACAAAAAAATTTATACCAAAACAGAGATGCAGAACTAGGAAACAGGATTGGTTCAACAGAAATTGCGAGAGGGCCAGAGACCAAAAGACACAAAAATGGAATCAATACAGGAAGAGGCCAAACCCCCAAACATACCAGCGATACAAAGATGCGAGAAACAACTACACGGCAGTGAGGAGAGAGGCAGAAAGAAATTTTGAAAAAGGTATTGCAGACAAATGTAAAACAGAACCAGGTCTATTCTATAAATTCATAAACAACAAATTGCAGGTAAAGGATAATATTCAGAGGTTGAAAATGGGAAATAGATTCATGGAAAATGAAAAGGAAATGTGTGAAACATTAAACGAAAAGTTCCAAAGTGTGTTTGTACAAAATGAAATCTTCAGGGAACCAGACAATAAGAATTCCAGAGAACAACATAGAGCACATAGAGGTGTCTAGAGACGAAGTGGAAAAAATGCTCAAGGAGCTAAATAAGAACAAAGTAGTTGGTCGAGATGGAGTTTCACCATGGATTCTGAGAGAATGTGCACCTGAGCTCAGCATTCCACTTCAACTGATTTTTCAGGCATCCCTGTTTACAGGAGTTTTAGCTGATGTGTGGAAAAAGACTAACATAGTTCCAATCTACAAAAGTGGAAGCAGGGAAGACCCCCTTAGTTATAGACCTGTATCATTGACAAATGTAATAGTCAAAATATTGGAAAAAATAATTAAAACTAAATTGGTAGAACGCCTGGAGAGAAATGATATAATATCAGACAGTATGGTTTTCAATCTAGAAGATCCTGTGTATCGAATTTACTCAGTTTCTATGATCGAGCAACAGAGATACTACAGGAAAGATGGTTGGGTTGACTGCATCTATCTGGACCTAAAAAAGGCTTTCGACAGAGTTCCACATAAGAGGTTGTTCTGGAAACTGGAAAATATTGGAGGGGTAACAGGTAAGCTTCTAACATGGATGAAAAATTTTCTGACTGATAGAAAAATGAGGGCAGTGATCAGAGGCAATGTATCGGACTGGAGAAATGTCACAAGTGGAGTACCACAGGGTTCAGTTCTTGCACCAGTGATGTTTATTGTCTACATAAATGATCTACCAGTTGGTATACAGAATTATATGAACATGTTTGCTGATGATGCTAAGATAATAGGAAGGATAAGAAACTTAGACGATTGTCATGCCCTTCAAGATGACCTGGACAAAATAAGTATATGGAGCACCAATTGGCAAATGGAATTTAACCGTTAAATGGCGCATGGCTATATACCATTTGACACCCACAGGCGCATATAAAAAAAAAAAAAAAAAAAAAAAAAAAACTTTTTTTCTTCCTAACCTGTTAATTTGTGTTCACTGATCATGGGAAAAATAATAAAAAAATCGTAAGTGGCTTATATTGCCCGCTATAGGGTGGGGAAGTCTGGCAAAATACAGGCGCTGACTCAGCGTGCGTCCCAGGCGGTCTGTTGATCCCCAGCCGTCAGGTAAGAGTTGCCACAAAGAGATAATTACCTAATTATTTCAATGTCTTGGATTGATTTTTCGTAGTTTTTTTGCTGTAATATTATTCAATAGTGTGTAGTGTGATATATTTATATCATAAAATGAGTGAATCATCGCTGTACTCAAAAATATGGTGTGCATATTGTTGATTCAATTATGTTCATCAAACAGTGAACAAATACTTTGTCGGTTATTACACTATATACACAGGTTATATATAAGTATCTGCATGTTTTGTTCACCATAACAAACCACTAAGTTGCTATTATGAGTCAAAAAGTAACGAGGAGTGACCGCCGTGTACCAGCCAGCCACTCACGCCCTCCCTCAAGTCACCTGACTCACCCACATTCTCCTCCCACAATACTGTTTTTGCTTTTATTCACTATATACAGACGCTATATATAAGTATCTACATTCGTGTTCACCATTACGAACCACTAAGTTGGTACGCTGAGTGGCAGGCAGTGGCAGCCCGCCACTGGCTGCCACTCCCTCCCTCACCTCACCTGGCTTGTCACCATTCTCCACCCACCATACTGTTTTTGCTTTTATATACAGACATTATATATATAAGTATTTACATGTTTTGTTCACCATAACTGTACATCTAAGTTTGTATGGTGAGTAAAGGCACAAAGACGTAGGACCTCACACAGTCAGTTGATGTCTGCCGCTCTCAAGGCCAGACGCACTAATATTTTTCCGCCAACAATACTGTTTGTGGTGTTATTACGCTATATACACACATTATATATAAATATCTACCTGTTTTATTCACCATACTTGTACAAGTAAACTGGTATGGTGCCCAAAGACCATCGTGGTAACCAGTAAACATGATGGCGTCGTGCAGACGACGCCACCGCCCTCACCAAAATGGCGGCTCCCAACCTACTCCTCTTGCTGTTTATACCCTCTATACACACGTTATATATAAGTATCTACATTTGTGTTCACCATAGCGAACCACTAAGCTGGTATGGTAAGTGCAGTCAATAAAAGGTGGCCACACACAGTCAGACGACATCGTTACCACCCTCCCTCCCACAGCATTACTCCTCCCTCCATGGCGCACAGCGCTAAATATCACCACAATCCTGCTATTATCAGAACCCTGGTCAGTTTTATCACAGTCAGAGGTCTTCTGTAATAATATCATTGCTACATAATAGCATGAACAAGTATATTATGACATTTTTAGGCGATGCTGTGGTCACAAGCTGAACAGCAGTGCTGTGAGCTTATGCTGCATGCGTCAGGCTTGGAAGCTCACTCAATACTGAGGCCCCTAACATCCGGGAGTTTGGCCCACGATTTTTTTTTTAAATGGCGCCTGTTTACAAGAGCCCTGATGAAGGTGTGGTGAACCCCGTGTATCCGCGGGCCGTTTAAATCTTGCGTAGTACTCCAAAGCATCACATGATGCGTTGCGCAATTTACTGCAAGTCAGTCAAAGCATCATATGATGCGATGTGCAATTGAAGGGTTAATGTTAATAAATGCCACGTTATGGAATGTGGAATAGAAGAACATGAACCCCACACAACGTATAAATTATGTGAGAAATCTTTAAAGAATTCTGATTAAGAAAGAGATCTAGGGGTGGTTCTAGACAGAAAACCATCACCTGAGGACCACATAAAGAATATTGTGCGAGGAGCCTATGCCACGCTTTCTAACTTCAGAATTGCTTTTAAATACTGTATATGGATGGCGATATACTAAAGAAATTGTTCACGACTTTTGTTAGGCCAAAGCTAAAATATGCAGCAGTTGTGTGGTGCTCATATCTTAAGAAGCACATCAACAAACTGGAAAAGGTGCAAAGACATGCTACTAAGTGGCTCCCAGAACTGAAGGGCAAGAGCTATGAGGAGAGGTTAGAGGTATTAAATATGCCAAAACTAGAAGACGGAAGAAAAAGAGGTGATATGATCACTCCATACAAAATAGTAACAGGAATTGATAAAATCGATAGGGAAGATTTCCCGACACCTGTAACTTTAAGAACAAGAGGTCATAGATTTAAACTAGCTAAACACAGATGCCGAAGAAATATAAGAAAATTCACTTTCACAAACAGAGTGGTAGACGGTTGGAACAAGTTAGGTGAGAAGGTAGTGGCGGCCAAGACCATCAGTAGTTTCAAAGCGTTATATGACAGAGTGCTGGGAAGACGGGACACCACGAGCGTAGCTCTCATCCTGTAATTACACTTAGGTAATTACATTATGTCATTGGGACCAGGATAGGAATTGAGATTGAGCTTAAGAGGTTTTTGAGTACTTTGAGAAAATTTACACAGTACTTTCTCCAGTGACTCCATAGCATATTTATATGACCCTGAAGGGACATAGCAGTCCCTGTGATGCAGGTGTTTCTACCAAACCAAAATCTCTTGTAATACAGCAGTCATTATACCCTAAAAACTCTGAATAAACTTGCTCAGAAAGTAATAAAAAGATAGGTAAGACTAAATAGTGATTTATGCAAAGGTGTGTAAAATCTAAAAGCATTTTGTACTCACCTGGACATAAAGTATTCAGTCACCTTCCTCCAGTCAACACCATCTGGGACACGGATAGTGGTAACAGTTGGTGTTCGTTTGGCAGGATCGGCAACAAACAGTTGCAAGCCAAGAGCATTCAAACCATTATACAGTTTTTGAGCACAATAGAGGTGGCGGGACCAGAGGGAGTGTAGCCCTTCCTCACACATCATGGATAGAGCTTCCCGCAAGGCATACACAGAGCACACAGGTCCAGTGTGGTGATACCTGTGAAACAACAAATGATCTCTATTAACAATTACTCCAGTGACCAAGAGTCGAGTTAGATTTTGTTATGTACAAAAATGATTGTTTACAGACATATAACAAGATAAAACAGCTTAACACTATCGCACTCCCATCCCTCCTATTATCGTCTTAAGTTTTTCTCCTTAATGTAATCCGATGACTATCTTGTGCATCATAAACTAAAATATTTGTAAAAAATTAAATTTTCATCCGATCAATTTCTTGGTGGTTTCAAAATGAGCACCTTTAGATTGCGCACAATTTGATACCAAAATGAAAGACGTAACCTGAAAATTGATGTCAGAACATTAGAAAGATAAATAATTTTGTAGTGATGAGCATCAAAAAGTGTCCAAAAGTTAAAATATTTGTTAAAAATCTATTATTCTATTATTATGGGACTAATTTTAAAATACGTATCTTTTTATTGCGAACAATTTGATACCAAAATGAAGGCTGTAACATGAAAATTTATGTTATCAAACTGAATGAGTATATACATTAGTCTACAGGTGTGCCAATTGGTGCTCGTTCACTGGTAACATGGCTGACTTTAGGCTTTGCTGTGGGACTCACTCCGGGCTTTTAGATCTTATATGCATATACCCCTATAGAGAATTCTATTGCGAACACAATGATACCAAAACGAACGATGTTGCACGAGAAATTAGGCGAGAAAGCTGAAACGAGTATATACCTACCAAACACACACCAAAACTACGACGTTGGTACAATGTTCGAACAAGTTTTAACCCCTCCTAACCAGTTATAACAGCCAATATAGCAAGTTGTAACAATGTTCTAATACATCATAAACACGTTAAGCCAAGATGTAACAACTTTATTACAAGTTGTAACAAGCAGAAAATGGAGACAGTTTCGATTTGTGTTTCCAGGGTACAGAGTATATACTCTTTTATATATAACGAGTATATATAGTGTGCTCTAACGGATAAGGCTTCGGCGACTTTAGGGGGTCGTTGCGGGTTATGCGCCCCCATGTTGTCTAATTTATATACATATGTCTGTGTAGGAAATTTTATTGCGATTACAGTGATACAAAAAAGAACAATGTCGAATAAGTTTGGACTTGATAAACCTGAAAAAGAGTAGCAACATGTTCGCACTGTTTGGCGTGCACGGCTAACAAACAACTTAAGTTTTTTATTTGGTGCCGGCATCACGTTAGCTTTGGTGACATGTTATACACATGTTCCTCTAGAACATTTCATTGAGAACACATTGATACCAAAATGAAACACGTACATCGAATATTACGGTCAAAAACATGAAGAAAAAAAAAAAAAAAAAAAAAAAAAAAAGAGTATAAATTTTTCAGTAGGGGTGTAGCCAATGTGCAGTTGGACGTGCGGTAGCTGGTAACCCTTGCGCAATTTCCCACGGTCTTGTGGGTGGGGGCGCGCCATGTTTTGTACTTTATATTCATATGTCTGTGTACGGAATTTTATTGCGATCACAGTGATACCAAAATTAACGACGTAGAACATTTCTGGTGTTGACAAACCTGAAAAGAGCATAAACATTTCATTGCTGTTTGGTGCTCACAGCTAACGATAGCCATAGTATTTTATTTGGTGCGGGTCTCATATCGGCTTTGGTGAAATTTTATATACTGTATATATATACAGAGCACCACTTGGTTTCCGAACTTTAGTTATCCGAAACTTCCAGTTTCCCGATTGGGGTTGGGGAGTCATGCTACCCGAAGGGAAGGGGAAGGGGTCCGCCAAGCGTCACGCCGGCTTGTTGTGGTGGGTGGGAGATGGTCCAGTTTGCCCACTGTGACTTCAGATTCACGGCCTATTATTCTTATTATTTTGAATTGCCATAAGGCTGGAATGTTCATTCTGTGCTTTTGTTTTACATATCTGCACAATCAAGAAACATCTGTGCACCATGTCGGCTCCAAATCCACGCATTGCGCCAGTGATGGCTGACCAGTGGGTGGATGGATGAGGGAGCTTAGGTGGGAGGCAGTATGAGAGAGGGGGAAAGAATTAGTCAGAAAGGGAGTGGGAGGGAGAGAGAGATGCTAGGAGGGAGTGGGAGGGAGAGAGAGATGCTAGGAGGGAGGGAGAGATGCTAAGAGGGAGGGGGAGGTAGGGAGAGATGCTAGGAGGTAGGCAGGAAGGGACGGAAGTAGTGAGAATTAGGGAGGGAAAGGCAGGCAGGCAGGCACAGGCAGGCAGGCAGGCTAGCTTGCAGGCAGGCTGGCAGGCAGGGAGTGAGTGAGTGGTAGTCACGCGGTTCAACCGCGTGACCTTTAAAAGAGAGTATGGGATGTAGGGGGGCGGGTGGTGGGGGCGAGACCGGCTCATTCCCGAAGATAAGCCTAACACACACTACCCGTTAGCATGATGGCAGGCAGGCAGGCTTGCAGGCTGGGAAGGAGGCAGGCAGGCAGGCTTGCAGGCTGGGAAGGAGGCAGGCAGGCAGGCTTGCAGGCTGGGAAGGAGGCAGGCAGGCAGGCAGGCTTGCAGGCTGGGAAGGAGGCAGGCAGGCAGGCAGGCTTGCAGGCTGGGAAGGAGGCAGGCAGGCAGGCAGGCTTGCAGGCTGGGAAGGAGGCAGGCAGGCAGGCAGGCTTGCAGGCTGGGAAGGAGGCAGGCAGGCAGGCTTGCAGGCTGGGAAGGAGGCAGGCAGGCAGGCAGGCTTGCAGGCTGGGAAGGAGGCAGGCAGGCAGGCAGGCAGGCAGGCAGGCTGGGAAGGAGGCAGGCAGGCAGGAAGCGATATATGGGTGTTGAAGTGAACCATGAACCACGTGACCTTTGAGCAACCCGTTCTCGCAAATTTAATAAGTCAATATTGACTTATTAATTATGTGCATAGGTGACATACTTAACATAATAGATACCCTTAAAAAGATTCATAGAAAACACCGACTTTACCTAACCTACTTAGTATGTTAAGATAAGCATCTTATTGCTTCGTAATTACAATTATTACCTAACCTATAATAGGTATAGGTTAAGTAATAATTGTAATTACGAAGCAATAAGATGCTTATCTTAAGATACTAACAAGGTTAGGTAAGGTCGGTGTTTTCTATGAATCTTTTTAAGGGTATCTATTATGTTTAGTATATCACCTATGCACGTAGTTAATAAGTCAATATTGACTTTACGAATTTGCGAGAACGGGTTGCCTTTGAGAGTGTGTGTGTATGGGTTTGGGGTGGGGGGAGAGGGGGAGGTGTGTCGGTGGTGGGGGAGGGACCGGCTGACTCCGTAAGCCTAACCACACTCCACAGACCTGTGACCCAGATTTGTTTCTTAAATGTACAGTACATCATCGTATATTTTAGGCAGGATGTGCCTGCAGGCTGGCAGGATGTGCCTGCAGGCTGGCAGGCAAGCTGGCAGGATGTGCCTGCAGGCTGGCAGGATGTGCCTGCAGGCTGGCAGGCAGGCTGGCAGGATGTTCCTGCAGGCTGGCAGGATGTTCCTGCAGGCTGGCAGGATGTGCCTGCAGGCTGGCAGGATGTGCCTGCAGACTGGCAGGCAGGCTGGCAGGATGTTCCTGCAGGCTGGCAGGATGTTCCTGCAGGCTGGCAGGATGTTCCTGCAGGCTGGCAGGATGTGCAAGCAGGCTGGCAGGATGTGCAAGCAGGCTGGCAGGCAGGCTGGCAGGATGTTCCTGCAGGCTGGCAGGATGTTCCTGCAGGCTGGCAGGATGTGCCTGCAGGCTGGCAGGATGTGCCTGCAGGATGGCAGGCAAGCTGGCAGGCAGGCTGGCAGGATGTTCCTGCAGGCTGGCAGGAAACATCTAGAGGATGTTTGCCAGTCGTCTTAATAATCAGTTAGGAACAATTAAGGACTTTTATAAAGCGGATCAGGACTTCACTTATTGGCGAGTACAAACAAAACACGGTCGCATTTACGCTATGAACCTGTCGATTTGTTTCCCTAGAGTTTTTTCGTAAATTTTTTCAGAACAATTTCTTTTTACATTTCTAGTTTATTTTTTCCCCTCTATTTCTCGTACACGAACTTACATGTTAACCAACGGGTCTCGTCCCCAAGGGGTTCGGAAACCAAGTGGTGCTCTGTATATATAATTATATATATATATATTATATATATAACATACATATATATATATATATATATATATATATATATATATATATATATATATATATATATATATATATATTTATATTCCTCTATAGCATTTTCTTGCGAACAAATTGATACAAAAATTAAATAAATACATGGAAAATTAGGGTCAGCAGACTGAAAAAGAGTATAAACATTTCAGTGTCGCCGCGCGGTCACCCGAAATGCTCAGCACACGAGGAAAAAGTTAAATAATCTTCTGCCGGGAGCGTGGCAGTGTTATGCATGCAAGGATTTAATAAACTCTTACCTTTTAAGATTCGGTGCTAAAGAAATTACCTTCCTGATTTTATACATCAAATTTTTCAGTGCATGTAATTTTAGTAATTTATCATAAATAATGTTTTAATAAGTGCAAAAAATAAAGCACAGTTTTACATATCTTTTGAGACCAACATCATGTGCACAATTTAAATTTATAATAAAATAATTAACTTTGTTAAATTTTCTAAGTTTTTTGGAACCCAGGACCCATTCTCATATCTATAGAATCCTTCAACTCTATCTATTTTTCTTGACAGCTGAGATCCATTGACATGAAATTATACTGTACAGTATTATGCCACTACAAAAGTTATATTAGTTTCCATTCTACACTAAGAATGGAATCTGTGAAGCTGAAGTTGATTAAACTGAAAAGTATATGGATATTTTCTGGGCGTTTTCAAATAAATTCAGATAAAAGCTTCACCAACTACACTTTACTACCAGATGGGTCATTGGTGCACATAATGCCCCACACCATGGAATAGTATACTGTGCCAAGGTAAGGTGATTGAGGACAGTGAAAGCTATCAGGAAAGTTATTCCTGATAACTTCCAACCTACTTGAGAGGCAATCCATCACAGCCCCAGTAGTTTGCGAGCCACGTTATGTCCAAATAAAAACTTCTTATGGGCGTTTTGCGAGCGTGAACCTTCTTCCTGTGGACAAAAAAGTACATATTTTATCTGGCCTGTTCTTTCTAAGGGCACATAGGTACTCAATCTTTTCAAATAGGTTCCATCTGCAACTACTGTATATATGCCATGAAGAAAAATTATATCTGATAAATTAAAAGTTTGCAACTAATATATTTGGTGTAGGATTTTATAAACAAATTTCTACAAAATATAGTATTGCTATAGTTGCTACTAACTTTGGAAATCATTTACACCTGAAAAATAAAAGAAGCAAAGATTCCTCATTGCTACATCAGTGCCGAGAGTAAATGCTGGTTTAGCTTCCCAATCACCACTTCAACTTCTATTTCCAATAAACACAGACCATTACCTCCACTTCACACTTTCTCATTACAATTATTATAAATTATGCAACAAAATTTAACAGTACTGTATTTGAAAGTTCCCCATCCTTCCCCTCCCATCATCTTCATGTACATGCAGTACTTTTTAACCGATTCTGTTTTACTCTTTTTCACCTTTAGTCCCACCCCACCACCTTTACTTATGTCTTAAATTATTTTAAAAATTTCAAACTGATGGACAAGCAACATACTCGGAAAAGTAATACTCACATGGCTCGGTCATTGAAAGCAATTGGTGCCAGTGATGGAGGAGCAGAAATAACTTTTTGAGAGCCTGTATACACAACATCAATTTCCCAAGAATCCATGTAGAATGGCACACCACCAAGGCATGCAACGGTGTCTACTACAAGTAAAGCCCCATGTCTGAAACAAAATATTTATTGTGCATCATGAAACAATTCCTGTGAGGTAATATTTCATTACAAAAAAAAAAAAAAATAGTGAAATAAAAGTTACGAAGAGTAGGAGTTTTGATGGACATATTAATGTCAATGAGATATGTTGACTACAATACTAGGATTAAAAGAGCAATGGCAAGGATAATTATTTAAAGATTTAGGTGATATTTTAACATCCCATCCTCCTGTTTTGACAGTACTTTTTGTAACCATGTGGTCAATACTGTAATACCAGTATGTAGTAATGGGGCCCCAGTACACAACTTTCTGTACTATATTTTTTTATAGAGTATGAAAAACAAGATTAAAAACCAAGTTTAAGTATTCCTTGGCCTTGTATACCACATATATAACAAATATAATCATTCATTGTGTCGAGGGGGACAGGCAGCCAGAGTATATTCAGTAACATTAGGCTTATATTGATGTCCCCCAACCCCAAGGTCGAATTACAAACCCCACCCAGGATGTAATCCCACAACAAGCTGACTAACTCCTGAATAAAAGTTTGCTTTTAGCGAACATCTACTCAGGAATTAGTCAGCTTGTGGGGTTCGCTGAGTTTGCTAAAAGCTTAACTAATTTAAGCTTTTAAATATAGAAAATCAAAGTCTTCCTTACTTTCTACAAAGAGATCCAACACCTTCTAAAGGCTGTAATGCTCCTGTAGAGGACTCTCCTTGTACCAAGAAAAGAACAGCTGGCTTGTGCATTGATAATGCTGATTCCAGCTCATTGAGATTAAAGACATCACCAGGGGGTTTCTTTATCACACGAACATCAGCATCTTTTTGTAAAGGATAGCATAATTTTGGTTCAGTTGCATAAATATTCCTTCAAACTAAGAAGGGAATATAACAAAAAATTAAAATAATACATTAAATAGAAACTGTGCAAAAACTGCATGTAATAATACTTGATACATCATTGCCTTTTAAAGTAAAATGCAAGAAAGACCTTGTTAAGAAACTTCAGTATACTGTATTGATATGAATAACCCAGGATTATCACTATATGCAGTCGCACTGGTACTCACCAAGTCTGTGAGCCATTTCAGCAGCACGTTCACCCCATATACCATTCTGTGCTATCACAATGACATCATTAGGCTCCAAAAGGTTGCACATTGTTGCCTCCATTCCAGCATGCCCTGTACCACTAACACAGCACACAACATCAGTCTTGGTTTGGAAAATGTATTTTAAGCCCTCTTTTACTTCATCCATTATCTGAAAATGTAGCAGTTTGGGATCAAACTTTAATACTGTGTGGCTAAATTTGTTATTTATGCCATTTGGTTTTAATCTTATATCTGAATACAAAGAACAATCGATATAAATTATGCAAATAATGCATAATTGATCTATTACAGTATATACAACAGATCAATTATGTAGCTCATGAGTCTTATAAAATGGTTGCTAAATACAATGGAGGTTATTTTTTAGAGGAAAGTCAAGCAGGAAGGCCTTGCCAGAAATAGCATTTGGATTTAAGCAAGGCAGAGGGAGCTAATGGATGTACTCAGTGCACAGCCACAGTCAACTTTATTTACGATTAGACTTTCAAGATTTTAAGAAGGTAACAGAGGGCTTGCAAGGTTGCGAATGCTTACGAATTGACTTTTTGATAGTGCTTACTATGTTTGAGGGCTGTGACCCAATTGCATATTAGGCCTTCTGGTTGACAGTAAAGTCAGCCATGCTATTGGTGCATACAGCACCATATGCCATAGCTATTAGAAAGAAAATAGGTGATATGATCAATATGTCAAAATAATAACAGGAATTAACAAAACTGACAAAAAGGAATTACTGAAACCTGCAACTTCAAGAACAAGAGGTCACAAATTCAAATGAAAAAAATAGAGGTGCCCAAAAAATATTAGAAAGTTCTCTTATGCAAACAGTGATAGATAGTTGGAATAAGTGAGAAGGTCATAGATGCCAAAATTGACAATACAGTACAATAATTACAAAATGTCATGACAGAGTACTGGAAAGACAGGACTCCACAAGCATAGCTCTCATCCTGTAACAACATTTGGGTAATTACAGTACTGATTACACTATTATTCACTCATCTATCAAGATTTTCCTTTCTTTATGTATGCCTGGGATTCTACAACCCAAAACATCCTTTGATCCATAATTTCTCAACACAGTATAAATAAAAAACCAAACCCATTATGAACTCTGACCTTAGACAAAATGTAGTACCGTATCCTTATTTAAATCCTTAAACAAGCTAAATATAAAAGTACTGTACTACAAACATTTTCATCAATAGTGCATATCTTTATCATCAATAGGGCATATCTTTAAAGCCCTATACAGTACATGTACTGTACTGTAATTCCATTCTTGAATCATGTAGACACACAAGTCTCTAGATACCCCAAGGTGGTGGAAAGCAATGTCACACTGTTTCAGAGAAGATATCTCTGGTAGACAAAGGCTTATGGCAAAGTAGTGCCAGGGAAGAAAACCCTGAACACAGCTGCTAGCAAAAAGTACTACACAGTGGCACTCAGTTACACACACACACACACACACACACACACACACACACACACACACAGTGTCAGAGTGGTTAATAAATGGAATGCACTAGGAAGTGATGTGGTGAAGGCTGACTCCATACACAGTTTCAAATGTAGATATGATAGAGCCCAGTAGGCTCAGGAATCTGTACACCAGTTGATTGACAGTTGAGAGGCGGGACCAAAGTATTCGGGGGTTGAGCCAAAGCTCAACCCCCGCAAGCACAATTAGGCGAGTACACAATGAGGTGAACACTAGGCTTGGCAAGCCTTTGCCCAAGGATAAAGTCTTAAAAGACAACTTGAAACAAACTTCTCTTTGTGGCCACTGCAGAACCGTAGGCACAAACCATGGACCATCATGAAATAAGTGAGGTTGACAGTTATGCTGACAGTGTTGTGATAATTGTGCTGCTGCTGCCATCTGCTTACGATCCAGATATTGACTGATCATGCAGCCGGTAATTAGCAGTGATAATTTATGTTACAATATAGTATTTTATTTTATTTTTTGTATGAAGGAGGCTTGTTGAGTCTAATGTTTGTCCACTTAAATTATAACAAGTTTATTGTTCAGTGGTAATACAAATAAAAAATTTGCCACCATCTCCCTTCCTTGGCTATGTAATTAAATTATCAAAAAAAGTTTGATAGGTGAACAGGTAATTAGACCTTGACAGGCTAAATAAGTCCTTGGGTCAATATTGTACACTGTATACTGGTAGCTCACTCCAGGTAGCGACTGAGAGGCTTTAACTCAGAAAAGTAAATTTATGTAAACAGAGGAAACTACAGAAACATTACATTCAGTTACTGGGAATAACCATTCATTTAATTGCCTTAAGATAATAAATACACAATACCGTAGCTACGTTAACACGACTTAGACCTGAGTAAATTCTGGGTGCAGATGTCCGAGCACTGGCTTCATCATGGCATTATGAACTCGCAGAGGAATATTGACTGGACCCGGACCCATCAGTAGTTTTTTGGGAACATTTAGTGGATATTCCAGACATTTTGGCTTGGGTACATCCATTCTGAAGAACAATAAAATATTAAATACAGTACTGTTCTATATATTTTTTTTTAACAAAAATTAAAGATATAAAATTTTTTTTATATACTGTACAATGTATATAAAATACATTTGAAACACGATATAGTGGAGTATATACCTGATTTACCCGAGAGCCATTAACCCTTGTGGCCTCGACGAGGACAGGAAGCCGGTGGCTTGTCGAGAGTCCCCCTCCATTTGACTCGATGTAGGTACACAAAGTAAATTATATTAAACCTCTTCTTTCTTCACATAAATTCTGTACTGTACAATACTTCAACAGGAAAGCCACACACTTTTGCACTCTATACCTCACTACATCATTAGAATTCCTCGTCATATCTACCTCCCTGCTACAATATATGTTCCGACATGTTACAGACATACTGTATTACTGTATACAGCAAATGATATTTGCATACTTACAAATATGCAAATTTTGGATACTTCACAAAGATTCCTGATAGTACATAATTATGAATGAAGTACTTACACATTTCTTTGACACCACTGATGGCATTACCTTTGAATTCCATAATTTGTTCACATTTTAATAAAACAGTATAATGACACAAAGTATGTAAATAGTTCTGCTGACAGGGTTTACATATGGTCACATCAACATCAGCAGATGATGCAAACTCCCAGAGGTACTTCTGGCTGAGCCTAAGCCTAGCAGTGGTAGCACCTAGAAGTTCGCTAACCTTATTAGATGATCCATAGATGTGTAGTTCTTCCTGCATAATAGAACGATACTGTAGATGGAGGAACTGGTGTGAATTTCATTTTGCCTCAACTTTTGTGGATGTAACACCTCTATTTTATAAATTACTACTATACAGAGTATCAATAAATTAATATAGATAAATTAATACTGTATAAAGTGTTAGCGAGTGTAGTGTACAGGGGTGACGAGCCAAAATGCAATGATCAGATTTTGTCAAATATACAGTTATTCAAAGGATAAAAAACAATTTTATGAAAATTAGGTCTATGGAGTGCTTTAATGTTATAGTGCACAAGCCTCTGAAATTATCTCGAGAAGTGGAACTACAGTAGATGTAAAATGGGACTAACCAAACACTAAGCCTCAGATACATCTTTGAATACAACAACAAAAATTACCAAGAACTGCAAATTCCTTGTATGCCTTCACTTGAAGTACTGTATTCATGCATAAAGAATACAATTTCAAAGAAACCTAAAATCATCACATGTATGCATATAAATCTTCTCAAAGGTCACTTTTAATACCAGAATAAGTTACAGGCTACCAGCATAGTTGAGGCAGTTGATAGTGGTAAGGATTGTGATGTCGTGTACCTTGACTTTAGCAAAGCTTTTGATACGGTGCCACATGAAAGACTGATTAAAAAAATAGAGGCTCATGGTATTGGAGGTGCTATATTAAGTTGGATTAGGGCATGGCTATTCCAAAGGAAACAGAGAGTTAGTATAAATGGGGTTAAGTCAGGGTGGGAAAATGTTGTAAGTGGAGTGCCTCAGGGCTCTGTCCTGGGACCTCTGTTGTTTATAATATATATCAATGATTTAGATTCAGGTTTGAGTAGCAACATTTGCAAATTTGCCGATGATACAAAAATCGGCAGGGAAATTAACACGGAAGACGACTCCCTATCACTTCAAGTTGATCTAAATAGGGTTTTGAAATGGTCAAAGGATTGGCAGATGCAGTTTAATGCTGATAAATGTAAGTTTTGAGGCTAGGTAATGATGATAGAGTTACAAGATACGAGCTAGATGGTGTTGAGATTGCGAAGTCGAATTGCGAAAAGGATCTGGGAGTTATGATAAGTAAGAATTTAAAACAAAAGGATCAATGCATGAATGTTCATAATAAGGCAAATAGGACACTGGGATTTATTAATTGAAGCGTTAGTAACAAGATACCTGGTGTGGTTCTTCAGCTATATCTTGCTCTGGTTAGGCCCCATTTAGATTATGCAGTTCAGTTTTGGTCGCCGTACTATAGAATGGATATAAATTCACTTGAACGTGTCCAGCGTAGGATGACTAAGTTAATTCCCCAAATTAGAAATCTTTCATATGAAGAAAGATTAACAAAGCTTAAATTGCATTCACTGGAAAGGCAAAGAGTTAGGGGTGACATGATAAAGGTTTACAAGTGGATGAATGGACATAACAAAGGAGATATTAATAGGGTATTAAAAGTATCAACACAAGACAGAACACGAAACAATGGGTATAAATTGGATAAGTTTAGATTTAGGAAAGACTTGGGTAAATACTGGTTCGGTAACAGGGTTGTTGATTTGTGGAACCAATTACCGCATAACGTGGTGGAGGTGGGGTCCCTCGATTGTTTCAAGCGTGGGTTGGACAAGTATATGAGTGGGATTGGGTGGTTATAGATAGGAGCTGCCTCGTATGGGCCAATAGGCCTTCTGCAGTTACCTTTGTTCTTATGTTCTTATGTTCAAAGAATACAAGACGACATTTCTCAAAAATATTAAAATGCTGAACATGACTGAAAATTTCAACTCTTAAAAAGATCCATATTGCCTAATGCCTTACATACTAGAGGCCACAATTTCAGGCTTGCCAAGTCATCATGCAGAACTTCTCCCATTAATAAACCTGTTAAGACATCTGCCCAGGAGTTGTAGACAAAAGGGCAACACTCAATTTCAAAATGTAACTGCAAATCCTCACAAAATCAAAAGAACTTCTGTCAAAAGTACAGTAAAGTACGAGGAAACACACAATATGTGAGGTCGCAGCACTGAGTTGACCATGAAGATTAAATTCAACAAATGTATATGTCATACATGGATCAGTCATGTTACTCGAATATTATGAATTCCCTTTGTCAGGAAAAAGGCTATTAGGCTTATCAAGGTTTTCTTAGATCAACTACTACACCTACCCCTGGATGCAACCCAGAACAGTTGCCTAACTCCTGGGAACCTATTTACTGCTAGGAAAACATAGGCATCAAGGAAAAGATAATTATCAGGTGAAAATGATACGCCAATATGACTACTGTATAGCACTTGAAATGGGCATGAGGACTAGGATACTCATACCCATTTCAGGAGTGAAGGAACAGTACTCAGCCACTTGGACCATCGGGAATCAAATGCCGACCCTTGGAGAAGCAAAACCGTTGCTGTGCTGACCAGTCCCAGTGAAACTGAATGTGCCCAAACGTTTATATCTTGCCGCAAGAATCCGACTTGGAACCCTTTCAGTTGTTACCCCGAGTGCTCTGATCACTGCATACAACTGATGGCTGCCCCCCCACCCCATGGGCTGAGTGGATAGTGCCTGGGATTCATAGTCATAGGGGTCCAGGGATCGATCCCCAGCAGAGGCAGAAACAATTGGGCAGAGTTTCTTTCACCCTGTTGCTCCTATTCACCTAGCATTAAATAGGTTCATGGGAGTTAGACAGCTGCTATGGGCTTCTTCCTGGGGGGAGGGGGGTGAGTGGGAAAAAAAATCACATGACAGTTGAGAGGCAGGCCTAAAGAGCCAGGGTTCAACCTCTGCAAGCACAACTCGGTGAGTACAACCAGGTGAGTACAACATTACTGTACTTTAATCAGCTCAATACCACATTATTTTATCAGGTCAATTTAATGCATGTCTAAGCTGGCTCACGCCAACTCGATGAACGGCTACTATATAAAAATTGTGTATGAGATAAAGCAAAAATATAAACCTAATATTCAATATTTGTTGAACAGGGCAAGTCGAGAATGCATGCACAAACTCCACATTATGATCGGTATATCAGGCGAGTGTATTTTTAAATAGTGCCTATATCTTATATAAAAAATAATCGTCATATATATAATGCATATGCAGAGATGGTGTTGGAAGTTATATAACTTGTTAGTTATGTAACTTGGGACGAGATAACTGTTGGAACGAGATAACTGCAACTCGACATTGTATCTGAGCATCTTAGAAACTGAGGGGGACCATTACTGAAATGATTCTATGTGATGCCACTGAGTAATTTATAATAACTCACTTGAGTAGACCAGCTGCTGAAGGACCACCTTGCCAAGATACGTCGACCGAGCCACCTGAACCACCTGTTGATCCCCTGTGTGTTATTGTTGACGCTGTTGCCAGGACTCTCGCCACACGTCGTACCGCACGTGACCCAACACACAGCATTATGCAGATTTAAAACTGCTATAAATACAAAATTTTAATTTGATTTGGCATATTTAGCGCAATGCTTATTTAGCAATAAGTGTGATAAATGATAACAAAATACAAGTGAAATAACTTATGTTATTCTGCTATACAGTATTTGTACGTCTGGCAGCTATACTCAGGAGTAGATGGTAATTTACCTGAATTTACCTGACGACCACTAACAGAGGTCACGACCTCTCCGTAGGATGCAGTCGCATCTCGACAGATCTCCAGTATCAACTAATGATACTGGTAACGGCTCCTAAGGGCCACCACTACGGGCTATTTATGCCCGTGCCACCTTTCAGGTGACTTAATCTTCATCAATCAATCAATCAGGGCCACTAACATTCTAGTGGCCTTGACGACGACTGGAAGACGTCGGCTTGTCAAATGTCCCCATTTGCCCAGATGATTTTATCCATCTGGATTTTAAGAGTTAATAGAGTTTTGTTATTTACGGCTTCGGCGGGTAAGCGGTTTCATGGGTTTTTAACCCTGTGGGTGAAAAAGCATCTCCTGTGTTCGGTCCAAAATGGGGTGCATAATAAATGAACTAAACTAAACTAACTGTTTTCAGCCCTGCATTGTGGCTTGACACCGTTGCTCCTTGTTTGTGTTACATCTGACCATTTGAAGAAATTGTCTGGATTTGGAACCCCCCAAACTGTTCACTGTTTTAAGGGTTTCGATTAAATCCGCCCTGTCATGCGTGGTTTGCAGTGTTAGCCCCGAGGCTCTCAACCGTTCCTGATATAAGAGTTGACTTAGTTCTGGAATGATTTTTGTCGCCCGATGTTGTACCTTCTCCAAATTAAGCAGCTGTGTTCTTCTGAAGATGAGGTCTCCATGCTTGGATACAGTAATCCAAATGAGGGCACACCAGAGATTTATACAATTGAATCACTACCGTCTTTTCCTTAAAGTCAAAGGTACGCTTGATTATTCCAAGGGCTTGGTTAGTTTTTTTTTACTTCCGCTCCTACCTGTTGTGCAACTTTCACTGAATGATGGATTTTGACTACAAATTTGTGCAACACCTGCCCCCACAATTGTCTCTTCCACTAATGTTCTTTGTATCCACATTCTTTGGAATATCAATAATATTCAGAAATTACATTAAAGTGATATAAATTAATGAGAAAATTCACTAGGACTATGAGTTGGGTACAAACGTTCGAATTATGAGGTAGGTTCGCATCCACCTCATAGTCCTAGTGGATTTTCTCGTTAATAATATTCTACTTCTTCTTCTTCTTATTATTATTATTATTTGCTCAGTACTTTTAAGGCCCCTTTGAAGGTGAGGTCTCCATACTTGGATACAGTAATCCAGATTGAGACGCACCAGAATTGTGCAATTCAATAACTACTTTCTTTTCCTTGACGTCAAAGGTTCTTTTGATTAAAAGTACTTTATTTTTTTACCGGAGCGTGTACTTGTTGAGTAGCTTTCAATGGTTGGTGGATCATTACTCTCTTTCTCTCTCTGCTTCATGGTCATGTTATTGACGTGATATAATGCCTATATATTGTCATGCCAAGCAAGGTATTGCATTTTCGATATCGAGGAGCATTTGCTGTCTTCATTTTGGATTTTTTAATATCATGAAGGTCGTTTTGCAGGTCCTCAATATCGTTTTCGATTCCCACTTTGTCATAGATCTTTGTGTCATCTTTAAATTTGATTATGTTGACCGTGTTGTCATCTACGGTGTTGATGACTACAGGAAGAGTTGCTCCTAAAATGAAACCTTCTGGTATTCTACTAAAAAAAAATCCAATCCAATCAAGACAACCTTTGGCTATCTTTGCTTTAACCATTGTTTTATCAACTGTTGTTTTATTTTCATTATTAATAATAATACAATTATTATTAAGATATCATGATTATGTCTTCCATCTTGCTGATCCTGGTGACGCCTGCCAGCGTGTTGACGAAGCAGCGGTCACGTACAAGGACTGGTGGAGGCTGACGGTTTTGTGACGGGGCTATGGGTGGACACGCAGGGGTCCCGTCAGGCATGACCAGGCCTAGTGGCCCTGAGAGCAGCGCGCTCTCCTTCAGGTGCGCACCAAATTAGAGTACTCACTCATTTGTATTACCCTAACCTGGTTGTACTCATCCATTTATACTCATAGTGTCCTAGACAGGAATGTACTTACCCAGTTGTGTAGTGTTCACCTAGTTATATTCATACTGGCCCCAGGCAGGGAACTACTCACCGTATTTGTATTCTGCTCAGTTAAATTCATGAATAGCAGTTCAGAAATCAGTGTACTCACTAATAATTAAACTCACCCCTACTCATCCCAGGGGTCAGTGTGTGTTTTCCAGGTGAAAAAGGTATGGTGTCAGAGAGGAGGAAGTATTTGTGGGAGCTACATTAGAGAAGGGTCAATGTACTCTTATTTTGGATGAAGGACAGTATTTAGACAGTTCATGAACGTCTGTTATTGAGTCTACTCTAAATTACTGAATTTCTCAGTCTTTTCGCGAGTCAAAGTCTGATGTAGAATGTACGAGCAGGTCTGTCGGCAGTTTCAATTCAGTCAGATCTACATCAGCATGAGTTGCAGCCTTCCACATACGTGCGTACCACACCAGTAGGAGTTGGGGTACGCCACCATCTAGGAGTTTGACTGTATTCCATGACCCATATATCTCCACGTATGGTAGTATGGTCATGGATGAAAGTGTTGCAGATGTGATTCTCAGTTATAAACAAATCGCGGAGAGGAAGCCTATGGGGAAGCCTGCTGTAACCCAGCCGAACTAGTTTGCTAGGGCCGGCTGCCGATCAGAGGCCCTGCATGATCAACTAGCCATTTGTCTACAATGGGGATCTTAGCACAACCCAACTCCTCTGGGCACACACATTGTCACTTAGTCTAGAGCAGCTGCATAAATGCCCAGGTACCCAAATATGTTAATTCATAACGAAGGGTGAAGGTGTCGGAGCGGTCATCCACCCCGTGCTGGTCCTACGTGACTGACTGACACCAACGTCATCCACTGCGCCACACATCTACTGCGTCACTCGCTCACGTCATCCACTGTGTCACACCCGTCATCTAGTATCACACCCACGTCATCCACGATGTCACACTCACGTCACTCACTGCGTCTTTCATCTACGTCAGATGCACAATACAATCACATTAACGTGATGTATCAATGAGAATATCAGTAACGTGATGCATCACGTTGATATGATTTTACTGTGCATTTGACGAGAAGCGTTGTAGGTAGAACTACGAGACCATAAGTCAGAGTGCAGAGGGGCAATGCGTGAAAGAGAGGAAGGATTGGATCATCAGTGGATGACGTGGGTCATCCATCCAAGTCATTCACTGCGTCACACCCACATCATTCACTGCGTCACACCCACGTCATCCACTGCATCACAACCACGCCATACACTACTTGAGGTTGGGTCCTGGGAAGTACTTCGACATTGGGAGATCCTCGACAAAACTACCTACCTACTGCCGGCAGGTCTGAAGAGTCTAATGACCGGACATTCAGTAAAGAAGTATGTGAGATCATTACCCAAGTCCTGCCCACAGAGTTTGCACCTGGAGTGCTCAGGGACTGGGGATCCGTCTCCTGTAGCCACCTGCACAGTAACGGTAACCCAACCTGATCCTGGCAACCACTGTGTCGCACTATCTGGTTGACGTTTTGTGCTACCCATATACGTGGATTTCGCGTATAAACAAATCGTAGCTGTTTTTACCGCTGCTTTCAGGGCTTTGGGAGTCAATTATTCCTCTCCTATCAGACCTGAATGTTTGAAAGACTATAGTCTTAACACCGGAGATTGGAATACCTGGGGTCTAGTTCAACCTCATTCTTGATTCATGCAAATTTGGTTGCTATGTCATTATGATGGGTTATGTTTGTGTGAGACGGTATCCATAGATAAAGAGATTCTAGACCCTTTATTCTGTGCAGCGAGTAGATTATTTATAATTGCTATTATGAGGGTTTTTGCTGTCGATCTTTCAGATGTTTTCTGGAGCTTGAAGAGCAAATTTTTAATCACAGGAAATTAGTACTCCTGTGTCTTTCGTTGTGTCTTTCCGTCAGAAATGACGGAAAGGTTGTCCGTCATTTCTGTTATCCGTTTTACTGTGCATCAAGATATATCCATTACTGCTAGCATATTGTCTGACCTCATATTACCGTGTTAACTGTATATATTATCTTGCATTTGCCTTTACTTCATATGTTACTAGAAGGGGTCCCAGCAGTGCCCGGGTCTCCATGGCTGTCTCTCCCCACTTCTCTCTCACCCCCCTCTCTTACCTCTTGCCCCTCTACTCCCCTCTTTACCTTTCCTCCTATCTCCACTTCCCTTTTCCCCCCCTCTCCCCCCCCCCTCTCTCAAATCTTAATCTCAGAAAATTAAATATTAAATAGTAATGAAACTGGTAAATAACTATGAAAAATACAGCCTCTATTTCAGACTTCATGAAAATCGCACTAGTGCCAACCCCGAGTGGTCTATGATTTTCCCATGCCCCTCCTTGTGTCATCTTGCAAAGTTAGATGAGGTTAGCCCCAAGCGTCTGGTCCCAACCTCGGATAAACATTTTATAGTATAGATATAGAGTTGAAAAGAAATAAATTTGCACCTTCGGCTTGCTGATGGTATTCCACCTTATCTGCATCTGGGAGCCGGTCGGCCGAGCGGACAGCACACTGGACTTGTGATCCTGTGGTCCCGGGTTCGATCCCGGGCGCCAGCGAGAAACAATGGGCAGAGTTTCTTTCACTCTATGCCCCTGTTACCTGTTACCTAGCAGTAAAATAGGTACCTGGGTGTTAGTGAGCTGTCACGGGCTGCTTCCTGGGGGTGGAGGCCTGGTCGAGGACCGGGCCGCGGGGACACTAAAGCTCCGAAATCATCTCAAGATATCAAGATAACCACCTTGTCACTAAAGTGTCACACACATCCTCCACTTAAAAAGTAATAAAAACTTAGTGTTACTTTGAAGCATATGTGTCTATGAGAGAGAATGTCTGTTTATCTGTCTAATGTTGGAGACCAGATGCTTGGGGATAGCCTCACCCAACTTTGCAAGATGACTGGTGAGGATTGATATAAGGATTGCAACCTGGAGTTCTACTGAACCCATGGGGGGGAGGATTGTGCATAAGGGAGGGGGGTTTGTGTAAAAATCATGCTCCGGCTTCAGTAGAAGCCTCAGATAATCCTCGTGGGTGTTGTAAAACTCCAGGTTGCAATCCTTATAGCATGTCGTGATCTAGTGGCTAGAAGTGTGTGCGTGGGGACACCCACCACATAGGTTCGAACCCTCGTCACGGCTCCTACGGATTTTCTCAATAATTCTAGATTAATAAAATTTTATTAATTCATTTAACATATAAAATAGGAAGTTGTAACATAAAATATTACATTATGTTACTATTTTAAACACGGTTCAATGGAATTTGTTCTTGGCTTAGGAAGAAACTGGTCAGCAACTTGGTTATGAAGTTCTGACTTGCTGCATATGTCAGTTGCTTAACTTAGAAACTGTACTTGTGGTCGGTCTCGAGCCCATTGTTGATGTGACGACTTATACCGAATTTTGTAACTAGCTCATCAAGACTGTAACTTGCTTAGCTAAATGAATTGTGGGGTTCAGTCCCTGAGCCCATTATGTGCCTCTGTAACCCTTTCCACTACCGCCCACAAGATGGGTATGGGGTGCATAATAAATGAACTAAACTAACTACTGTGAAGATCATACAAGCATTCTCAATGTGACAAATCCTTATATAGATACTAGTAAGTATACCAGACAGTTGTATCACGTGACAACACAAGACACGGCCAGCAATACACTGTACAATATGACACCTTTACCAATTCGAGGGTTAATTACTAGAGCAAACTCAACGTGTGCAGCGTCACATTACTTCTGAAAGCCAAGTGTATTTCTTAAGTTTAGTGTTGACCAGATGACGTCAGGCTCACACAGTAATATCTTCTCTTTCAAAACAAAATATATTGGACAAAATATTTATGCCATTATAAATTGTTTATATTATTCCAAAATATTAATGTAATCATTCAAGTATTATGCTAATTAATCCAATAGTCTTCGAAACTGAAAGAGAAAACAAAATTGATAATTATTATTATTAAGACCCCGCGGGAACCTTGCCCAAATTTTGAGCAAAATTACTTATAATCGGCGATAACAAATATTATTGAGGGTAGAGACTCCACCACCAGAGTGCTTCCTGCGACCGATTAGACTCATCTGAACCTTATTTACATGGATTTGGAAAAACAAGAAAATAAGTTAAATTATTTGTTTTTATCTTACGTTTGGCAGTGGTACATCATTGTATTCTGCACATTACATTATTTTATTGTACTATATAAATACTATGTTTATAATGTACTGCATTGTACATTATTTTATTCTGTAAATGGGATATTGCGTATTTCAGGAATAGATTTTCAGTCGGCAAATGCCGCTCGAAAATCGGAGACCCCCCCAAAAAAATATATGTATAGAATGCTATATACAATTTAAATAAATAATATGCTAACTAAATAATTATATTTTACTTTGGAATGTAATAAACAGATCCACAAGGGCCGTGACGAGGATTCGAACCTGCGTCCGAGAGCATCCCATTCCAGTTTGGAATGAAATAATTATTATAGAGTAAGCCATGCTTACCTTAATTGTTGCTTCCTAGGAATACCCGCTACTGGTCAGTATATGGCCGTACTGCAGCCGCGGTAAACTCACACGCAGCAATAATGAAAAGATCTTCATGCGCTATTCTATCCAAAGACAACAATAACTGAGCACCAGCGGGTCAGCTGACTGGTACAGACAGACAGTAGTGAGTGGAGCGCCCCGGGCCGCACCGGTCAGCCCCCACCCCCCCCACTACAGTCCAGCACCTGGGCCGCTCCCACACAGATAGACTGCATATGTCGTCACCGAATTAGGACTTGGCTGACGCCATTTCAGCGGACGCCACCGCTCTTGTGCCAGGTAAGTCCACTACGGGCTCACCATAGCCCGTGCTACTTGCCCCGCTCCTGTGTCAGGTAAGTTACGGGCTCACCATAGCCCGTGCTACTTGCCCCGCTCCTGTGTCAGGTAAGTTACAGGCTCACCATAGCCCGTGCTACTTGCCCCGCTCCTGTGTCAGGTAAGTTACGGGCTCACCATAGCCCGTGCTATTTGGAACTTGTTCCGAGTAGCTGAATCTATAACAACAATAACCGCCATTTCAGAGCCATATTAAAATTCCAGGTCTTCAGCTTCAATAGAATAAACAACAGTTCGTGTATGTATTGTATAGGTCTCTACAATAAACTTCAGGGACATTAATATAATACATCGTGTATGAAAGGAATTGTTTAATACATTTTGATCAAGACGATAGATAAAGATGTTTTGACCTGGCATATCTTGAGATGATTTCGGGGCTTAGCGTCGCCGCGGCCCGGTCCTCGACCAGGCCTCCTTTTTGTTACACACTCCCAGGAAACAGCTGACTAATTCCCAGGTACCTATTTACTTCTAGATAACAGGGGCATCAGGGTGAAAGAAACATGTTGCCCATTTGTCTCCGCCTCCACCGGGGATCGAACCCGGAACCTCAGGACTACGAATCCGAAGCGCTGTTCACTCAGCTGTCAGGCGCCACTGTTTAGCTATAAATTAAAAAAAATTGCAAATTAAGTTAGAAGTAAGAAATATATGCACAAATAGAAAATACTTATACAGAAGGCAGTCCACATGAAGTCTCTATAATTATATAAATAGCACCCAGATAGAACATAGAATATTTATTTGGATGAAAGTAGAAATTAAATGAATATACTTCTCTATTAGGAGGAGGTACCCGGCGGTGCCCGGGGTAGTCTGTCTATTCTTCCCACCCCCAACACCCCTCATTCCATCCCTCTCCCCCATCTTCTGTCCTTTGCCGTCCCTTCCCGTTCCTCTTCCACTCTTCCTTCCCATCTTCCCCTACTTTTCTTCTACCTCTTCTCACCCCCATCTCTCTACCCTCTTCCCTAAAGCCTCGAACAGACATTTCCATTTATATATACATAAAGTGTATCCGGCTGCACCCGGGTCTCTTCCCCATACGTTCCAATATCCCACTTGAGTGAGTGAGTGTGTGAGTATTCACCTAGTTGTGCTTGCGGGGGTTGAACTCTGCTCTTTCGGCCCGCCTCTCAACTGTCAATCAACTGTTACTAACTACTTTACAGCTACAGTCATATGCTGATGCCAGTTACAGTCATATGCTGATGCCAGCTACAGTCATATGCTGATACCAGCTACAGTCATACACCGATACCAGCAATGGTTATATACTGATACTAGCTGCACACATACACTGATACCCACTACAATTATACACTGATACCCACTACAATTATACACTGATACCCACTACAATTATACACTCATGCCAGCTACAATCGTACAGTGTTACCAGCTACAGTCATACAATGATACAGCTAGTCAGCTATTTGAGTGGTTTCCTACAGTGTTTACTGTATTGAAATTTCCCATGCTTTCTTAACTTTCACCATAAAAAACGGTGGATACCGTAAACTGAAAAAAATTCTGCAAAGCTCCTTATTCTCACTCCGTTGTGAACTCTGCCGTATAAATTCTAAGGAAAGCTCTTATTAAAAAGCTTATCTCTGTTGTAGTATCACTCCCTGAGTAAAAATATTACAAATCAGTAATTGGAACAACGACAAACTGAAGCCCCAGACAGTACTCTGCCCCCTTACTAACATCTTTGAATATAATTTTTTAATAAATCACTGTGTCTGGGGACAGGAAGTCAGAGTGTATTCATACACGTTTTTTTTTTAGATATATACAAGAGTTGTTACATTCTTGTACAGCCACTAGTACGCATAGCGTTTCGGGCAGGTCCCTGGAATACGATCCCCTGCCGCGAAGAATCGTTTTTTTATCGAAGTACACATTTTACTGTTGCGTTAAACAGAGGCTACAGTTAAGGAATTGCGCCCAGTAAATCCTCCCCGGCCAGGATACGAACCCATGACATAGCGCTCGCGGAACGCCAGGCGAGTGTCTTACCACTACACCACGGAGACTTTTCTCGATGTCCCTCCCCCCCACCCCAAGGCCGAATTACTGACCCGGCCCAGGATGCAACACCACAACAAGCTGACTAACTCCTGAGTACCTACTCACTGCTAGGTGAACAGAGCCATTAGGTGAATGGAAATGTGCCCAACTATTTCTGTCCCGCCCGGGATTCGAACCCGGAATTCTCGATTGTGCGTCGAGAACGAACCCGACTGTAGTACTACCGGGACCCTACCAGGATATGTTATATATTAAGTCACTGCACGTCCTCTCACGCGTACTGTATAAAACACTGAACTGCAATGCTAATCCCGACCTTAAACGCTTCCTAGAGGGCTGTAACAGAACCCATGGGCACCACAATAGCAACGAATATCAAGGTATCTTCAAATTTTCTTACAATGTACCTGTTAAAATTGTTCAGTTTGGCTACAAAATACCTATTTAAAATTATCTGTTAGATTAGGGACCTGTCCGAAACGCTATGCGTGTTAGTGGCATTACAAGAATGTAATGTATGTATCAGTGTTATGTATAGGCTTACAGGTTCCGGAAGATGAGAGGAAACGTCAGCACTGTGGAGAAATGCCCGACAGACTACTGGAACATTATCTAACACAACGCACAGTTATAAACCCATTAAGATTTCAACTAAGATTCAACAGACCAGAAGTTGTTGTTAAACACGTGGGACAAAATCTTACTGAAGCGACCATATGCGTCATAAATACTTATACTCCGCCCAAGTAAAACAGAAACAAGCAACACTTAGTGGGCCAGCCAGAGGCTTAGGGCCCGCGCAGGAATATCCCTCCAAACAAAAAATAACAAATAAAAAAAAGTGTTATGTACTTTCATAAACTCAATGTACCGACTGCCGGTACATTAACGACTGCCCAAACATTGCCTTTGAGCAGCCGTTAAAGCAGTAAGATTTTGGAAACTCCAATAAAATCTAATAAGTTTAATGCCAAGTAAAACCTACACAAGCTATAATAATAATAATAATAATAATAATAATAATAATAATAATAATAATAATAATAATAATAATGTTAATTCAGGTAAAAGTTAATACATACAAAATGAGTTGCAAACAGAATGTTGGACTACTAGTTGATACCTGGTTGATACCTGGTTGATGGGGTTCTGGGAGTTCTTCTACTCCCCAAGCCCGGCCCGAGGCCAGGCTCGACTTATGAGAGTTTGGTCCACCAGGCTGTTGCTTGGAGCGGCCCGCAGGACCACATACCCACCACAGCCCGGTTGGTCCGGCACTCCTTGAAGGAAACAATCTAGTTTCCTCTTGAAGATGTCCACGGTTGTTCCTGCAATATTTCTGATGCTCGCTGGTAGGACGTTGAACAACCGCGGACCTCTGATGTTCATACAGTGTTCTCTGATTGTACCTATGGCACCTCTGCTCTTCACTGGTTCTATTCTGCATTTTCTTCCATGTCGTTCACTCCAGTACGTTGTTATTTTACTGTGTAGATTTGGGACCTGTCCCTCCAGTATTTTCCATGTGTATATTATTTGGTATCTCTCTCGTCTCCTTTCTAGTCTTTCTAGCTAGTACATACTCCATTCCATATGGAGTACTCCATACTCCATTCCATGGAGTATGGAGTACATACTCCATTAGTGGCTTCATTCCTGAAACCACTAATACCCACATGGTTTCGGGCAAGAATAGCTGTTTCAGTTATCATCACACAGCTCTGTAGGAGAAGTCACATTCTCTCTCCATCTTTGCTGAAACTAGAACTAAGACACACCTAACTAATGTACACTTAGCGATCCACAACAGAGTGGGTTATCTTGAGATGATTTCGGGGCTTAGCGTCGATAATATAGGTGGTCCAGGAGAGTAAGCTGACTTGTAGACGTGACTACTGTGACTACTGCTAAGCCTAGGCTACAGCTACGTCTGGGAGCTTGGTATAACACCTACATGAAGTAGATCTCACCAACCGTACACGTAGTCAGCTTCATATACCTCACCTCGCTATGTAATTGAGTTTGGATCAATCCAGGAGTTTAGAGACAACTGATAGAGCTAGTATATACTATGTTATCACCACCTGTTAACTTACATTGGAGTTATTTGTTGATATAAATCCTTGTTACAATGTACCTTTTCATATTACCTGATATGTTAGATTAATGATCTGCCCGAAACGCTATGCCTGTTAGTGGCTTTGCATAAATGTAAAAATAACAATCTTATGTAATTTCACCAACCAATTGTACCTCTTGCAAATAAAAATTATTATTATTATTATTATTATTATAACTATCACCAATGTCCTGGAAATATCTCTATGTTATCTGGGATGACATGTTGCCTAAATCCTAGCTAGGTATCCAAAGTTTATCTGTAGATAGAGAACACGCTTCTTCTAAGTTCCAATTCTAATAAGTTCTAATTACATCGCTAACCTTGTAACTTCATTACAATTTTTTTAATTAAAAGTTTAATCTAATTCGCCACAAATGTAAATTTCTTCACACAGAACATACAGGTCTAATTCCAGCACTCACTATGTCAGTGTAACCTTCCCACCAGCGCTCACAGGAGAGCCACACACGACATAATCTGAACAGGAAATATAATTACGCCCTGCTATAGTGAGTGCTGTTAGTGACGATAGGGTTTTCCGGTCGAAAATCGCAAGATCTTCCAATAAAACCTAATAAAAAATACTGGTTTTCTGTAATAACCGAGAGCACTGCTTGTACATTGGTTTGCCAGACCACCAGCCACACTCACACCCGGGTCTCTTTAGTCATCTACTTTCATCAACTCTGCGTTGTTCACCCAATAGTTTGCATTTGATGTTTTGCTTTCAATGTATGTAGGTATGAACATACTATATCAGTCCTAGAGATGCGGGGCTCTGGAACATCTGTCTATGGATCCCTTCATAGAAGCTTACCCAGACTCTTCCTTAACACATTCACATGCTATTATCACACTCGCTAAATCCCTTTTCACCCCCGCACTGTCTTCCATTGTATTCCGGAGCTTATAACAGCGACCTCAGTCACACGTGCTATTCCCAGTGGAGAGGAGTAGGGAAGGGCCAGGGGGGAGGGGGCGGTTGTTAAAGGGGAGGGAGAGGTGAAGGTAGACGTGTGTACATGGGTAGGGTAGGGTAGAGGGGGAGGGAAGGAAAGGAAAAAGAGGTTTCGACAGACTGCTTGGCGCGGAGTGACGTCAGAGCGCGGCCACAGTACCCAGGTCAGTGTGGGCGGGACTCGCACAACGATAACAGCGGTCAACGCTCTAATTGGTACCACCTGCACAGGGAGGAGCCCAGATGCCTTCCCTGGTGGTGGCGGCTGCGTGCACCTGCCAGGTGGTGATGTTAGAGACGAGAAGCAATTTGTAGCGAGAGACGAGGAAAATGATAGCGCTCAGAAAGCAATGAAACGAAATATATGTTAATGCGGGTTAGAGCGAAGTGTGTTGTATGGTGACCAAGCTGGGGTCTCTCGAGCTGTATGGAGACCAGTGCTGGCCAAGCCAGCACTGTGGCGCAAGGAGACTTATCCCCCTTGGCTGTCACGACTCACAGTCGTCTTTATTATATTATTATTGATTAGATCAGTAGGAACCATGAAGAGGATTCGAACCTCGAATCGATGATCTGGATACTTCCAAGCCCACGCCTTAAAGAACTTCACCACTACATGACCAAAAAAACAAGCCTCACAAACAGGTTTCATTGGAAGTCTCAGAATCCTCCCTAAAGGATTCACTTGAATCACAGCTTGTATTGCTTTTGGCCATGTCGTGGTGTAGTGGTCTAGGACGTGTACTTGAGAGTACCCACAGCATAGGTTCGAATCCACCTCATGGCTCCTACTGTTTTTCTCATTCATACATCACGTTAATGTGATTTATTTGTGCGTTATTATTATTACTATTCAGCCAAATCTCATTATTTCTGACCGACAATTAGTTATGGTGATAATTGAGGAGGGGTGCTTTACAGGAAGTGTGTGGGGGGGGGGGGCTGCGGTGGGGGGGTTGTGGGGGCAATGTAGCACTGCTCATTATAACTGTTGTCAACGGAGAGCGACTGATAACAACAGATAACAAGGTGTGGCAACTGATAACACGAGGCCGGGAGCGGCGGAGTAGTGATCACAATTATCGCTGTGCTAAATGATGACGATAATTATATATTATAATAATTTTTATAACAATTTGTAAATGATGACATGAAAATTGGGTCGATTTTTTTCTTCTTTGAGATACGAGCAGTTGGCAGGTAGGAGGTTCCTCCCCATGACCGCACTGATTGATTTTGTTTATGTATTAAGGACCCCATACCCATCCTGTGGGCGGTAGTGGACCCCATACCCATCCTGTGGGCGGTAGTGGACCCCATACCCATCCTGTGGGCGGTAGTGGACCCCATACCCATCCTGTGGGCGGTAGTGGACCCCATACCCATCCTGTGGGCGGTAGTGGACCCCATACCCATCCTGTGGGCGGTAGTGGACCCCATACCCATCCTGTGGGCGGTAGTGGACCCCATACCCATCCTGTGGGCGGTAGTGGACCCCATACCCATCCTGTGGGCGGTAGTGGACCCCATACCCATCCTGTGGGCGGTAGTGGACCCCATACCCATCCTGTGGGCGGTAGTGGACCCCATACCCATCCTGTGGGCGGTAGTGGACCCCATACCCATCCTGTGGGCGGTAGTGGACCCCATACCCATCCTGTGGGCGGTAGTGGACCCCATACCCATCCTGTGGGCGGTAGTGGACCCCATACCCATCCTGTGGGCGGTAGTGGACCCCATACCCATCCTGTGGGCGGTAGTGGACCCCATACCCATCCTGTGGGCGGTAGTGGACCCCATACCCATCCTGTGGGCGGTAGTGGACCCCATACCCATCCTGTGGGCGGTAGTGGACCCCATACCCATCCTGTGGGTGGTAGTGGACCCCATGCCCATCCTGTGGGCGGTAGTGGACCCCATACCCATCCTGTGGGCGGTAGTGGACCCCATGCCCATCCTGTGGGCGGTAGTGGACCCCATACCCATCCTGTGGGCGGTATTGGACCCCATACCCATCCTATGGGCGATAGTGGACCCTATACTTATCCTGTGGGCGGTAGTGGATCCCATACCCATCCTGTGGGCGGTAGTGGACCCCATACCCATCCTGTGGGCGGTAGTGGACCCCATACCCATCCTGTGGGCGGGAGTGGACCCCATACCCATCCTGTGGGAGGGAGTGGACCCCATACCCATCCTGTGGGCGGTAGTGGACCCCATACCCATCCTGTGGGCGGTAGTGGACCCCATACCCATCCTGTGGGCGGTAGTGGACCCCATACCCATCCTGTGGGCGGTAGTGGACCCCATACCCATCCTGTGGGCGGTAGTGGACCCCATACCCATCCTGTGGGCGGTAGTGGACCCCATACCCATCCTGTGGGCGGTAGTGGACCCCATACCCATCCTGTGGGCGGTAGTGGACCCCATACCCATCCTGTGGGCGGTAGTGGACCCCATACCCATCCTGTGGGTGGTAGTGGACCCCATGCCCATCCTGTGGGCGGTAGTGGACCCCATACCCATCCTGTGGGCGGTAGTGGACCCCATACCCATCCTGTGGGCGGTAGTGGACCCCATACCCATCCTGTGGGTGGTAGTGGACCCCATGCCCATCCTGTGGACGGTAGTGGACCCCATACCCATCCTGTGGGCGGTATTGGACCCCATACCCATCCTATGGGCGATAGTGGACCCTATACTTATCCTGTGGGCGGTAGTGGATCCCATACCCATCCTGTGGGCGGTAATGGACCCCATTCCCATCCTGTGGGCGGTGTTGGACCCCATACCCATCCTATGGGTGGTAGTGGACCCCATATCCATCCTGTGGGCGGTAGTTGACCCCCCATACCCATTCTGTGGGCAGTAATGGACCCCATACCCATCCTGTGGGTGGTAGTGAACCCCATACCCATCCTGTAGGCGGTAATGGACCCCCCCCCCCACACATGCGTATCCTGTGGGTGGTAGTGGACCCCATACCCATCCTGTAGGCGGTAATGGACCCCCCCCCCACACATGCGTATCCTGTGGGTGGTAGTGGACCCCATGCCTATCCTATAGGTATGGGATCCATACCTATCCATAATTCCACCTTTTTATCAGGTTGAATTACATAGTAATGTTAAAATATGTGAATAGTTGTGCTGACAGAGTTTACATTTGGTCAGAGCTACTGGAGCAGGGGGGGGGGGTATACTCCAAGAGGTGCGTGTATTGGAGCCTAAGCCTAGTAGCAGTAACGTCTCCTGACCATACTGGGTGACCCAGTATGGTCATACTGGCTCTTCCTGGATAATAATGTGGTGATGGGGTAAATGGTGTGAATTTCACTCTGTCACAAGTCTACTGAATTTTGTTACGGTTCTCAAGCTGTTCAAAGGTAGTTCAAGGTCACCATCAGGGTCCCACGAGGACTGGTCACTAGCGGGGTCCCACGAGGACTGGTCACCATCAGGGTCCCACGAGGACTGATCACTAGCGGGGTCCCACGCGGACTGGTCACTAGCGGGGTCCCACGAGGACTGGTCACCATCAGGGTCCCACGAGGACTGATCACTAGCGGGGGTCCCACGAGGACTGGTCACTAGCGGGGTCCAACGAGGACTGGTCACTAGCGGGGTCCTACGAGGACTGATCACTAGCGGGGTCCCACGAGGACTGGTCACTAGCGGGGTCCCACGAGGACTGGTCACCATCAGGGTCCCACGAGGACTGGTCACCATCAGGGTCCCACGAGGACTGGTCACCATCAGGGTCCCACGAGGACTGGTCATCATCAGGGTCCCACGAGGACTGGTCACCATCAGGGTCCCACGAGGACTGGTCACCATCAGGGTCCCACGAGGACTGGTCATCATCAGGGTCCCACGAGGACTGGTCACCATCAGGGTCCCACGAGGACTGGTCACTAGCGGGGGTCCCACGAGGACTGGTCATCATCAGGGTCCCACGAGGACTGGTCACCATCAGGGTCCCACGAGGACTGGTCATCATCAGGGTCCCACGAGGACTGGTCACCATCAGGGTCCCACGAGGACTGGTCACTAGCGGGGGTCCCACGAGGACTGGTCATCATCAGGGTCCCACGAGGACTGGTCACCATCAGGGTCCCACGAGGACTGGTCACTAGCGGGGGTCCCACGAGGACTGGTCATCATCAGGGTCCCACGAGGACTGGTCACCATCAGGGTCCCACGAGGACTGGTCATCATCAGGGTCCCACGAGGACTGGTCACCATCAGGGTCCCACGAGGACTGGTCACTAGCGGGGGTCCCACGAGGACTGGTCACTAGCGGGGGTCCCACGAGGACTGGTCATCATCAGGGTCCCACGAGGACTGGTCATCATCAGGGTCCCACGAGGACTGGTCATCATCAGGGTCCCACGAGGACTGGTCATCATCAGGGTCCCACGAGGACTAGCCACCATCAGGGTCCCAACCAGTAGTACAAGAGACACTACAATTATCAGCAGGTAGAGTAAAGCAGAATCTCATTTATATTTTATGATGAATTAGATAGACATGATCAAGTGGTGTGAACTTTCTGATTACTGCAGCAGTTATAACAAAATTATGATATGAAGTCTCTCTCTCTCTCTCTTCTCTCTCTCTCACACACACACACACACACACACACACACACACACACACACACACACACACACACATAGAGGTAGCCGTAGAGGAAGTACTCAGATAACTCTCATAACTAGACGAAACTAAAGATATCGGACCAGACAACGTATCACCATGGATGCTAAAAGAAGTGGCTCAGACCCTCAGCATACCTCTAGCATTGATCTTTACTTATTTAATTACAAAGGGCGAATTACCCTGCTGCTAGAAAATATAAATGTGGTACCAATTTGCAAGAAAGAAGATTGAGAAGAGACACTTAACTACAGACCAGTGTCACTAACGAGCAGCTCCTGCAAAGTACTTGAGAGACTAATAAGAATAAGACTAGATATACACACTTGGAGATAATTAGGCTACGCTAGATTGCGTATTTATGGGCTGCCAAAAAGTCTTTGACACAGTACCATACAAGAGTTTACTACACAAACTTGAGAGGCAGGCGGGAGTAAGTGTAAGTGGGAATGGGTAAGAGGAGAGTGACAGGTGTCAGAGAGTGACAGTGAGGGGCGAGAAGTTGGACTGGAGTCGGGAAACAAGCGGAGTGCCTCAAGGATCGGTGCTGGGACCCATACTATTTCTCATTCATGCTAATGACCTATCTACAAGAGTTGAAACCTCCTCTAGATAGGTCGCATGAGGACCTATCGTGGGACCCACGATAGGTCGACCTTGTCTAAGATAGCTTAGACAAGCTGCAGTGTTGGTCCGTGAATTGACTTATGGATTTCAACAGCAGCAAGCACAGGGTGAGGTAAATGGGAAGTAGTGGTCGGAGACCAAGGGATAGTCCACAGTGAAGGGGAACTACCTCCCTGTATCGACTAGGGGGAAAAAGACCTGGGAGTGAATATAACATTAAACCTAACTCCGGAGGCTCATATAAACAGGATAACGTCAGCAGCATACTCTACACCAGCAAAAGTCACAACATCAATCAGAAACCTTGATAAGGAGACAATTAAGTCACTGAACACAGTCTAAACTAGACCAGTTTTTGAGTATGCCGCCCCTCGTGGCGCCCCTCGTGGCGCCCCCCCGTGCCGCCCCTCGTGGCGCCCCTCGTGGCGCCACCCCCGTGCCGCCCCTCGTGGCGCCCCCCGTGCCGCCCCTCGTGGCGCCCCTCGTGCCGCCCCCCGTGCCGCCCCTCGTGGCGTCCCTCGTGCCGCCCCTCGTGCCGCCCCTCGTGGCGCCCCCCCGTGCCGCCCCTCGTGGCGCCCCCCGTGCCGCCCCTCGTGGCGCCCCTCGTGCCGCCCCTCGTGCCGCCCCCCGTGCCGCCCCTAGTGGCGTCCCTCGTGCCGCCCCTCATGCCGCCCCTCGTGCCGCCCCCCGTGCCGCCCCTCGCGCCGCCCCCATCATATAAACCACATCAAGAAACGCGGAAAGTTTCAGAAGTTGTCAACGAGACTCGTCCCAGAACCACATCAAGAAACGCGGAAAGTTTCAGAAGTTGTCAACGAGACTCGTCCCAGAATTGCAAGGAATAACGCATGAAGAACAATCGAAAGAGCTGGACCTGACGTCACTAGAGAAGAGGGAGCGGGGAGACATGATAGAGACGTATAAGATACTTAGGGAGATTGACAAAGTGGTAACAAACAGGAAATGTTCGTAATGAATACTAATAGAACTGGATGGAGGCTTGGCAAACGGATGAGCCATAGGGATGTTAGAGTAAGACTGGTGTGAAAATGTTACCTGCTAAAACAGCAGGTTGAGGAAACCAACTCCATTCATAAGTTTAATTGTAGATATGATAGGGGAATAGATAGGGAAATCACAATAATTTGATTGATCTACGAGAAATTCTGGGTTTACCCAGGACGCTGCTTCCCTCCCCGCTTTACTCCAAAGATTTTATGAGATGGGAAAATAGGTCAGGAATCGTTTCATTAAAAAGCCGGCGGGTAGAAAGCGGGGTTTAAGAGCTAAGGCTCGATCCTGCAGGTACAAATATAAAATCAATAATAATAATAATAATAATAATAATAATAATAATAATAATAATAATAATAATAATAATAATAGTAATAATAATAATAATAATAATAATAATAATAATAATAATAGTAATAATAATAATAATAATAATAATAATAATAATAATAATAATACTAATAATAATAATAATAATAATAATAATAATGATAATAATAATAATAATAATAATAATAATAATAATAATAATAATAATAATAATAATAATAATAATAATAATAATAATACTAATACTAATAATAATAATAATAATAATAATAATAATAATAATAATAATAATAATAATAATAATAATAATGATAATAATAATAATAATATAATAAAAATATTTATTCCGGTACAAGTACATACATATAAAATGAGTTACACACATAATGTTGGATGACTAGATAGAGCTAGTACATACTCTGCCTAAAGCCACTAATACGCACAGCGTTTGGGGCAAGAGGTGAGGACACCCTCCCCAGCCCACCTGACACCTTCACCAGCACGCCCCCCTCAACACCTGGGGTCCTCCCTGGGGTCGCCCGATGAACACAATGAGTCCAACTCCCCCGAGGGACCGCCACGGCCAGACCGCTTGTCTCAGGGACGGCCGCTCGCACCTGGGTGTCCCTGGTCACCACCGCCCACACGGGAGGGTGCGCGCTCACAATGGTGGGGGCGCCCTACGCTGCAGTTACACCTGCACCGCTTAACAGCTGGGGTCAGCAACTGCTGGCCTCCACGGCACATTCTTACTCATTCCTAGAATTCTTCTTCTTCTTCAGTCCAACCACTTGGGCTGGACGGTAGAGCGACGGTCTCGCTTCATGCAGGTCGGCGTTCAATCCCCTGCCGTCCAAGTGGTTGGACACCATTCCTCCCCGCCGTCCCATCCCAAAACCTTATCGGGACCCCTTCCCAGTGCTATATAGTTGTAATGACTTAGCGCTCTCTCTTGACTGTTCCCTTCTTCATTTCATCTTTTCTCGGTGCTGCTGTTTTAGTTGACATTCCTCGCTTCTCATTCTTGTTCTTCTACATCTGTTTTGTTCTTCCTCCTTCTTTGGCGTGTTTTTTTTGTTCCTTAACTTAGTGTTCAACTTCATCTACTTTTTCATCGCCTTCATCTACTTTTTCAATGCTAGGGAGCCGGTCGGTCGAGCGGACAGCACGCTGGACTTGTGATCCTGTGGTCCTGGGTTCGATCCCGGGCGCCGGCGAGAAACATTGGGCAGTTTCTTTCACCCTATGCCCCTGTTACCTAGCAGTAAATATAGGTACCTGGGTGTTAGTCAGCTGTCACGGGCTGCTTCCTGGGGGTGGAGGCCTGGTCGAGGACCGGGCCGCGGGGACACTAAAAAGCCCCGAAATCATCTCAAGATAACCTCAAGATAACCTTATGCTTCCTCTTTCAATTCATCAGTGGTTGTGATACATTAATCACTGTATTTGCAGTATTAAAAGCTATGACAAGTTTTGTAATAACAGGTATGTGTATGGTCAGCACAGTAACCGGACCAGGCAATGTGATGTAGTCATTGTGGTAACTCGCCTTGGCTATAGGCCCATCTGGCAGGTTAGTGAGGCTGAGCCACTACCAGAATACTCAGATTGTAAACTCTGTGATAAACCTTTAATGCATTCACTAGAACACTATATTGTTGAATGTGAAACCGTAAAAGACTTTAGACCTCCCGGCCTATTGTACCACCAACTGTGTAACTATTTCATTGACTCAGGTGTTCTGGACGACATCCTAACAATATATCCAAAATTTGCTTGTCCATTTTAAAGAATGAAGAACAATTTTATTTATAATACTTCTAAGCTGCATCACTTATGAACCCATCCCTGCCCTTGTGTGGCAGTACACAATAGAAAGTTGTTTTCACATATTCATACATAAAAACATTGATTGTAACCATGATATATATGTGCTTCAGCCTACAGTTTAGACCTATTGTCTTGTGTATGACCCTCTGTCCTGCGTGACAGTGAATACCAGCATTATCCCCACTTTAATAAGACTTAATTGAAATCCTCAAATTAGGCAAAATTGTAATTAATTTTGTCAATAAAGATGTTAATAATAATAATCACTGTAATCTCCTCCCTGTGTCTGCCCAGTACTTGAGCAATTGTTTCTCCTGTTGTTACACGCTCTGTCCTAGACCAAGATGTTCTTTATAACAGTACCTGCCACTAGCCTGGTGTTCTTTATAACAGTACCTGCCACTAGCCTGGTGTTCTTTATAACAGTACCTGCCACTAGCCTGGTGTTCTTTATAACAGTACCTGCCACTAGCCTGGTGTTCTTTATAACAGTACCTGCCACTAGCCTGGTGTTCTTTATAACAGTACCTGCCACTAGCCTGGTGTTCTTTATAACAGTACCTGCCA